GAATCCTCTCACCCTCCGCATCTCTGGCCTGTACCCCAGTTCTGTATGAATAAATAAATAAATCTTTAAAAAAAAAAGTAAATAAATCTTCAAACAACAAAAAAACCTAAAATTAAAAACTTACAAAACAAACAAACAAACAACAACAACAACAACAACAAAACAAAGTGACAAAACACCTGCACAGCCCTTGGCTCAGTTTCTCTTTGCTGTTATGAAACTGGAGTCCCACAGCAGCACAAGCTGCTGAGCAAGGCCAGCTCTTCCCCACCGCCAGTTAAGCAGTCAAATCCATCGGAAAAGCAGTGGAGGTTTTCTGCTGGTGCCAGAAGAAGCTGTTTGTGGGCAGTGCAAGCAACAGTGGGTGATGGGCCCTTTACTGTCTACCACCACTGGCCCCACAGGGGCTCAGGTTGCAGGAAGAGGCCAGCAGTGATGGCAGACAGCAGTGGTTCCCCTGTTAATCCACCACAGGGCATGAATCCTCCCATTCAGGGCTACAGGGAGGAGCATGGGGTCCCACTGGGCCAGCTTCAACACTTGGCTACCTTTAGCTGCAAGCAGTAGAGTGGCCTATGGAGTCTCGAGACAACAGGGCAGGCGGAGACCACCTTGCAATGCTGCTGCATGTTCTCCCAACCACCCCCCATATTTACATTGTCATACTGGGCCCCCCTGAAGGGCTACAGTGCAGTGTGCCTCAGGCTCCACTGAAGCCAGTTTTGGCTGTGCTCCTTGGCATCCACCTCCTGAGGTAAGGGCAGGCCAGTTATGTACACACACCAAGTTTTCCCTAAGTGATGCCTAGATTATAGAATCGACTGAGGTGTGACGTATGAGCTGATTGGTGCTACATGGTCCAATCAACCATAAGATTGTAGGTAGGAGACCCTGAAGAAAGCTATAAAGCAGGGCAGGAGCCAACTTAGGACTCACTTGGACTCTGTTCCGGGCCTCTGAAGAAAGAAGACTCTGTTCCTTACCTTCAAAGAAGAAAGAAGCCTCAAGCAGCTAACCTCCCAAGAAAGAAGAGAAGCTGAAAAACTGCAGAGAGCCTAAGAGCTGTGCAGAGGCAGGAGGCCACTATACCTTTCTCCAGCCCTGCCTCTGATATCATCTGAAATGAGCACCAAGGCCTCAAAGAGCTGTGTCTCAAAGAGCTGTTTATTATTTGTGCAGGCCAACAACTCAGATAAAGCTGTGACAGTGGTGTTTGATACTGCTTCCTGGTGAACAGTGGTGACTGGCATTATTGGTTGTGATACCCAGCACTGTTGATGGGTGACCAGCACTCTGTGTCTAGGTTACCTTTTGAAACCTGTTCATCACTTCTGATTATCCAGTACTACCTCCTGGTGCTGCTGCCTCTGTTGCTACCTGGTCCAGTGCCCAGTGCTGTCTATCCCATCCTTCGCAATGCTGCGGGCTGCTGTGGTGTCATTTCAATGCCCCCACCATTCAGCACCTTTAGATGTGGTGGGTTGGCTCGTGGCACACTACTTGCCAGTCTCGGGCCCTCATTGATGGGACAGAGGCATCCTGAATGACAGGCCTTTTATTTGGGACTTCTGGACACTGGACGTTTTATGGGTGTGACAGTTACTACTTGTGGCCTTAGGAACTCTTTTTTCCCCGTTTGTTAAATAAACTCACTGTTACTGTTCCTGATCTTGAGTGATCTTGCAATTGTGATCTCAGGTGAAAACCCACAGCAGTGACCTGTCCTTTAATGGGCAGCACTGTCCCTGTCTGTCTGTAGCCCCACTGTAGCTCTATCTGAGCACTTTCTCATTATCAACTCTCTCCACTCTTCCTTTTCCTCCTCTTCCTGAGAATATGCTTTCATTTGAATTTTGTCACCTGCTCTGCTACATTTGAATTTTGTCACCTGCTCGACTACTCTCACAAAACCTGGGATGAGAGTGGAATTGGAAGATTACCTTATGAGGATTCAGGATGTCTGCTTTTAGTCGGTTTTGGGTTCTTACTGGTTCTCAATACTATGCCAGGTGTGAAAAACAGTCTTTGCCTTGAGCAGCAGTCAGTTTGAAACAGAGATATAAGTGATTAAAATGCAAGGGCATATAAATGTAAGTGCATGGAAAATTATATTCTAAATAAATTATTATTGACCAAAAAAATTATATAGACCAATAGTGATATAGGAAGTTAATTTCATTTTGCAGACATTGACTTATTTTGATTATTGAAAGGCAATACCATTTGGGGTAAAATTATGAGAGTGAGCTCTTGTACAATAATACCAATATTTAATTGGTTTGGTCATTTCTTGATATGTTTTGAGAGGAATGCATACGGGAATATAATAAAATGTGTTGGAACTGTAAAAAAAATACAATAACGCAAATAAAACACTATGTGTGTTGTTTTAAAACATAAAATATAGTAAATTTGGTCAAAAGAAGGAAGTTTAAAGATTTTAAGTATTTGTTAGCCTTTGCCACTAGATGAGTCAAACTGGCAAATATAGGAATAATTGAGCAATGCCAGTCTTTTTTTTTTTTTTTTTAAGTTGATGATCGCCATTTTGTTTCCATCTTTATGGTATTTTTGCTATTTTAACCAGCCGCTCAGTTTCATCCAATGACCTTTATTCTAGGAATATCCTTTGGAGATTCAGGAGGGAAGTGAAAATGATAGCTGTACTAGAAACGTGGGATTATAGTTTCCAGGGTACAGAAAACAGGTCATTCAGTTAAAAGGTACTTTACACTGCCCCATCATTATTTCCTACTTGCTAAAGAACATGTTTTATGCCATGTGGGAGACAGTAGGTCAGTGTGGTCAATCAGACAGGGAGACAGTCTAGCAATGTTGCACACAAAGTGATCCATTACTGTTAAATCCTTCAGAATTATTGCTACATGATCACAAATCGTCATTTCGTTATTTTCTTGTCTCCTTCCAATAACCTAGGACTCATTAGATCCTTCGTCCCTTACTGACAAAAGTCTAACTGAATAATCTTACACTAAGAGGAGGACAGAATTTTTTTTGGGGGGGGTTTAAAAAATCCTTAAGTTATTAATGGCTTTGAATAAGCATTTTAGGAATGTCCCAGAGATAAATCTCCCTGCGTTTCCCTAGGACGGGTGACTAATAAGAGGGAGGTGTTGAGTAACTCGGTGACCTGTCCTCAGGTGCTCAGGGAACGCGTCTCCTCCCTCCTCGACTTTGGTCGGCAGGTACGACTGTGCACTGGCCGGTGCCTGCGCGAAAGCCACGCAATAGCAAAGGCCAATCGAGGCCGGTTACATTTTTTTTCCGCTCCCTTTGCCACCGCCTACCGCCGACAAGCTGACAACCTAGACTGCTCCCCCGGACTAGTCTTACTTTTCCATTTCCTCCCACTCGCGAGGCGGATGGGACGCCGGAGGTCGCAGGGCGCATGCTCCACCATCCCGAGCATGCTCAGTAGTGCTCGCGGCGCCCCGGAGCTTCTCCAACGAGCGGCGGTCGACGCGGAGGTCTCCGCGGCAGCTGTGGGAGCAACAGGAAGTGAGGCGGCCCCGTCGGGTGACCGCGGCGGCACAAACAGAGGCGGAAGGGGCGCTGCGGCGCCGACGTCGTTGACCGGGGTGGCCGAGGGGGCCGAGAGCCGAGGGCACTCGCCGGCTGGGAAGCCGGATCCCGAGCCGGGCAGGATGGATCATCATCAGCCAGGGACTGGCCGCTACCAGGTGGTGAGTTCCCTGCCCCCGCCCTCTGCGCTGCCGGGGACCCCCGGACCTGCTCCCGCCGTGGCCCCGGAGTCCTCGCCGCTGCTTGTTCACGAAGGCAACGTGCTGGCTGTGCTGTTGGGGTTCTCCTGGCCGAAGCTGCTTCCCTTGCACCTCTCCAGGGGAGCCTGCCTGTCATTGCTTCCCTCTCGCCCCGAGTGTCCTAGCGTTGCACTCTCTCCCGCTTCCTGTTCCCCGCAGCAAGACACCCCCTTCCCCTATTTAAAATTTCGGTTTTATTGCTCCCATTCTCGATGCTTTCCTGAGCCGGTCACCTCTGAGACATTCCAGTGGATTGTTTACTGCAGATGGTGCTGACTTGACTCACCTGCGGGAAGGTGATCTCCGTCATAAACGGAGTGGGTGGGGGAAGGAGGTGTAAGCGCCACGTCCCTGTGGGGCTTGGTAAAAAAAAATGTGGATTTAGTGAGAAAAAGGTTGAAATTTAGTCAGTTGTAGAGCACACTCAGGGGACTCATCTCGTTTCTCAGTTCGAGTTAACCTTGTCATTTTGTCCCTTTCCATTTTGTTAGTTTTAAAAGTGACTGTTCTTTTTTCCATTCCTCACATTTTTTCGACGAGAGGGGGAACGAAGTTTTACCAGAAAAACATACCAGTCTTGTTTGAAAAATTCGTGATCTTTAAATACAAGGTCTTCTAATTCCAACACACAAACCTGTGCAACTTGAAACGAGTGAAAATTGTTCTATATTTTGAGTGCCTCCCCCCACCCCTCCATACTCTTTCCCCCTATTGTTTTAACTCCGATGGTGGCACTGGGGATTCCTGTTATAAACTCTATTTAAAAAATGAAGTGTTCTTTTGCATTTGGTAGCGTGCTATTCTAGAAACTTTCAGATGGTTATTTAGTTAAACCTGTTTACCAAGAGAAAAGCAACAGGCAGTTCACAATTACTAGTACTGTTCGTAAAATTTTGTATTATTTGTGAAATGTAGATATATTAGTGCAGAGTTCACCTTTTAAATCTTTGTACGTGTGAAACATGTGAACTAAGAAATTCAACTAGTAAGTGCATTTGTGACAAATTAAGGATCTGAAGACGAGGTCCCAGTGTATGTATGTGTTTACATTTTTCAAAGATAAAAAAGGTCATGATGCTTTATCTAGTTTGCTTACATCTTATAAAACCTCCAAATGATCTTTATTTTGAATTCTGTGAAAATTTATTGGAATTTTAAAAAATGTTTGTTGCTAGTATGGAAAGCATTTTTTAAAAGTTGTGTATATACTTCTGTTGAATTTTTTTAAAATGTGAATGCATTTTTGCAGGTGTTACAAAAGTAAAGTGCTATAGGTAGCTTTTGAATTTTATTAGCAGTGTAAATTATTTTTTTCTAATCTTTTTTCTCTTCATGTCATTAGCTAATTTCAATTCTTTATCTTTAGGGGTTTGCATATCAGAATCAATCACATCCTCTGTCAACTACATTCTCATACAACCAAATTCTTACTCACGTGAGAGCTGATATAGCCGTGCCTTAAAATGGTACATTGTCACATTTGCTTTCAGTGATTAAGATGACAGTGATTTAATTATTTTAAAGAATTCCTAATACATGCCCAAATACTGAAATTTGGCTCAGTTTAAGATATTTCTTTTTTTTCTGCAACTCCTTTCAGAATAAGTATACTGTATCATATTTTATTGCATCCTTTATTTCACACTGGAGATGGGCCCTACCTAGACTTTGAATGGGTGGAGACAGTCCTTTAGCACAGGGGGCAAAAATCACTCCTGCTGATAATATAGCTCACTTTAACTAGGAAGGACATCAATTTATTTTCCTAATAAGGCAAAGTGTGAGAATCTTAGCACAGCTTAAATTAGGATTTTAATTTCTAAAACTGTGTAATTATGTAGTAATTTTATTGTCTAGTCTAACACTTGGTGTTGGTGAGAATTGTCTGGTCAGAGTCTCGGTCTAGGTAAATGAAAGAGAAGCTGCTGAATTGGTTTCCAGTGGATTATTTAGTTAAAGTCCTGTCTGCAGCTCTGGCTTACCTATGATGGCACCAGTGTTGGGTGGCTGATTGTAGCTCAGTATTTTGTTTTGAAATTTTGAGTGATCAATAAACTTGAGCATACAGCAACTTCAGTTGTTGAAAGTTTTGAGGTGACTAAAACATGGGCAGGTATCCTTAGGATCAGTGTTAGTTTGTCTCTTAGTGAAAGAGGTAGAATGTAGCTTTCCATATTGGAAAGTTAGTGGTGGTGCCCAGGGCATCAGAATGACTGCCATTATCAAAAGTGCCAGCTCTATGTGGAATCTGCTTTTCCTTCTGCACTGTTAAAAGGGTCTGAAATATTTTAAATAGAGAAATGGATTAAAAACATAGAGCTACAAAAAGCTTTGATTGTTACCCTTCTGAAAAAGCCAGGTATGTTACTCAGTTTCCTTTGGTAGGAAGTGAGCAGTGTTGCCAAACTGTGAAGTAGTTTACTGGGAGCTGTTAGGCCACATTCTAACTTTGATGTTCTCTGTTTTAAAGGATTATGTATTGTACCTAGCTGTCTACTAAAATTTCAAAAGCATTAAGTTGGCAGTGTTGATTGTAGCAGTATTTTCTCAAACTTTATTCCAGAATTATGATAATAGAAGTTCTTTTAAGATTATAAGATATGTTTTATATTAAATATAATATATGCATTATTACAGTACCTATGTAATACGTATTTTATGTTAATATATTATTGTATTATAAAAATTTATTTGCATATTAAAACCATGAGAAATTTTGCAGTAAAGACAATGTCTTATATTTGTTTAGCTCTTCCTAAATTTGATCACAGATTAAAAATTTTTAAAAAATAGTGTATTAGGGCCCTCCCTGGTGGCGCAGCGGGTTAAAGCACTGCACTGAGAATCTAAAGCCGCTTCTGCATGAGTTCAATTCCCGCCTGCCCCGGAGGTGACCACATGGTGTGGCAGACCTCTCCTGACCTGCCCGCTGCTCCCCTCAGCAGTGTACTTCGTCGATCTGCCTGTTCTGTTCCCCACTCTGTCTCTGGTGAAGCCTCTCACCGCCCCTGAGCCTCTGGCCTGTACCCCAGTTCTGTATGCACAAATAAATAAATTAAAAAAAAGGAGTGTATTAACATTTTCAAAATGTTAACATTTCTCCTGAACTTCAAGTATTTGTACTGCCAACGTTTTCAATACTTTCGTTTATTATCTGAAAAATTAGAGTTGCCGCTAATAAATCAGCTCGATGGGGGTTGACTGCTAACGATTAAAAAGCACAGGTTTTCATCTAGGCTTACATCTACAAAACTAGTCTACAAGCCTTTCACATAGTTACTTAGCATCTTGAAGTCTCATTTTCCCCATATTAGTAACTATCTCATTAGGATTGTTGGGAGAAGTAAATGTAATATATGTAAGCGATACAGTGAAGATTACTGGTACTAAATATTGTAACTAACATGAGGCAAATGAACTAAATTATATGCTTTTTAATTTTTACTGGTGACATGTTTAGGCCTCTTGTTTAGCTATGTGAATATCAGCTAGTTCTTTGTTATACATATCAGGAATAGAAAAGTCTTAAGATTTGATTTTGCCATATTTGCAAGGTAATTAGTTTGTTAATGTTTCAAGGTTACTGGCAGTAAATGTGTGGAGGTAAGAAAGAAATAACATTACAGCTCAGCAAAGAACCATGTGAGTCCGCATATTTGTGTAGTTTTTTCTTGCAGCTCGGTCCCTTGAGGTTGATGGGTGCTCCAGATGGATGCAAGTAGTAGGTCACAGCTCAGGAACTCAGGACCAAAGGTACAGCAATTTTTTTTTTTTTAAGTCAGCAATAAACATGGCAGCCAACAGCAAACAAACTAGTTCAATTATCCCCTCTCCCCAGGATGGTTAGCTACATATTGTTGTAACCTTCACATTTGTTCCCTGTGTGACTTACTGCAAGAATCAGGAAATGGATAAACCTTGCAGGCCTATCATATTCAATAAGAAAGTAAGTGCAGGGACATTCCAGGCTCCTGATAGACTACCTTAACCAGTAGTGCACATTGTGGAAGAGATACTATCTGTGCTGATTTTTAGGGTCAGTAGTTTCTTTTTATTTTCATTTTAAAGAAATACTGCCATCTCTGTTACTTTTGAATTGTTTTCTTCATTTTTTGGTCCAACTTGATTACTTTGATCTTCACTGTTTGTTCTTTTCAGCTTATCAATATTGTTTATCTGACATATTCTTACCATGCCTCATTTGCATCATCATGGTTGCCCATTGCTTAATCTAATAGATATTTTTCAGTTCTGGGCTAGCTTGACTACTGTATTACGTCTGCACTGAACTTTCTCCTGGACTCACCTTCCTTATTCCTGGTACCATGAATACTCTTCTCTGACTTTTCTCCTCTTTGTGAACTCAGTTTGTACTTAAATGTTGATGCAGTCCACAGCATACACTATTGTATAGACTACTTAACCACTTTCTTCCTTCGTTTGATTACCTTTTCTTTAGTGTATCATTTACATGGTATAAATCATATTTATGGTATATAAATTATCATTTCTTTATTCAAACACTTCAGTGTCCAGTTTTGAATTCCTTACTCACTTAACATTAAAACTTTCAAATTCTAGAAAAGTTGAAAGAACTGTACAGTTAACTTCTATATATAAATGCCAGATCTACATTTAAAAAGTTTGCTGTATTTGAGTTATTGTACTCCATCTTAATTTTTAATGCTTTCAAAATAAATTGCAGATGTCAGCATTCTTCACTGCAAACTGCATGCTTATTAGTCTTGAGTTTAGTGTTTTTAAAAAAGATTTATTTATTTATGTATATAAGAACCAGGGTATGGGCCAGAGGTGCAGTTGTGGGTGTGGGGAAGGTGAGAGAATTCACCAGAGACAGAGTGGGGAGCAGAACAGGCAGATTGAGGGAGTACACTGCTGAGGGGAACAGTGGGTAGGTCAGG